TCATTAGAGAAGTTAAGTCGTACAGTATGCAAATCAGGACAAATCTCTTGCTCATATAAAGATGTGGTCACAGCAATGATTTTCCATTGTGTTTACTTTATGAATTATTCATGAATTTAATAACCACAGCAACCATCTTCTTTTTCAGGCGAATCAACTCATTATAGAAAAAACTTCTAAACCAAAACCCAAACCAGACAACAATACACTTGTCTTTGGCAAGGAGTTTAGTGACCATGCATTGATGATTGAGTGGACGGCAACAGGAGGATGGGCTACACCTAAAGTAGTACCATATGGCACGATGCAGTTATCTCCAGCAACGTCTGCATTGCATTATGGTCTTGAGGTGGGTATAGGAGAAGGAGACTGGGCACTATAAAAAATGAAGTGCTATTATTTCTAGTCATATGAGCAATAGGGATTTGGGTTTCCTGTGTTAATGAGCCAGTAAGGATATCTGTGCCATTACGAACAACTAAACAAGGTAGCGTTAAAGGGACACTGTCAATGGATGACATGCGCAGTTGTAACAGTCTCGCCTGTAACGGACTTTGAAAGTACTACCTTCGAGGAAAATCATTTTATGGTGCTTTTGACACACTTTGCAATATTCTAGATCTGTTTACGTTTACGAGCTGATTTATGTCGCGCCAACTTGGAGTCATAAACTTGAAAACTCTAGCCTAGTGTTTTCAAGTTTACTCGCGCATGCGTGCCATTGACAGTGTCCCTTTAAACATCATTGTGAATTAGTTCAATTTTCATGCAAATGCTTAAAATGCAAAAATTTACTGTCAGGGAGGTTGACAGTTAGCCTCCTTTAGCAGCCGCCCCTCCCCCGTGGGAGAAGCGTTGCGTGACGACACAGGGGCGGCTGCTAAAGGAGGCTAGTTGACAGTACACTCAGTTAAAATCCTGCACATACATTAAGAACATGCCAGTTATAAAAGAAAACACCAAGGCTGAAATTTGGTTAAAAAGGAGCATTTTATATATTACAATGCGAATCGAAAAATCGTGACCGTCTAGAAATATTTCAGGAATGTGTGTTTGAACAGTGACTTTAGCTGACAAACAAGAAAACATTGTGTTTGTTCTAAATAATGAAATTTGACTATTTGTGAGCTTTTACAGACCGCTTTTTAGTGATAAACTAGTTTTATTTATTTGTAACGTTGAAGTTTTGATTAAATTTGCACGTGAAAATTTACTTGATGATGGTTGATCTCACTTGTGATTGGTCAATGAACAATAAGCATGCCTGAAATATTTCTCCTGCAGCCATGGTTTTTCGATTTGCACTGTAATAATATAATCACCAAAACCTGCTCTCTTTGCTCTACGGTCTATTAATACATGTACAGAACTTCTGTTGTTACATGTAGCTTTCATTTTTTTTTGGTTCATTGTTTTCTACTATAAATCATGAAATTCACTTCAAACAGTTTGTGGAAACCATGGGGTAACATGGTTAGCTTCAACATACAACTTTTTAATATTATGAAATGGCAGAAACTAGCGGTAAACCAGTGTGAAAGCTGTGTCAACGTTTCTAAAGAAACAGTTGTGTAAAGAAAAAAAAAGTAGGTGAGACAACTTTCTGTCATTTCGGACGTTAATCCCCTTTACTCCACGAAGGATTAACATCTAAACCTTCAGTAAGTTGTCTCACCTACTTTTCTAAGCTGTTAAATTTATCTTTTTTTCCACAACTAGTTCTTAATATTTTGTTTTTCTTGAATATAATAGTGTTTTGAAGGAATGAAGGCTTACCGTGGAGTGGACAATAAGATAAGATTGTTCAGACCAATGGAGAATATGAAAAGAATGAACCACTCAGCCTCAAGGGCCAGTCTTCCTGTAAGTTATGTATTTTTACAGCAAATTCCCTTTTTCCTCTTTTTTTTCCTCTTCTTCTTCTTCTTTTTTCTTTTCTTTTCTTTTCTCCCTTTTCTTTTTTTTCCTTTTCTTTTTTTCTTTTCTTTTCTTTTCTTCTCTTGTCAAGGACGAAATTTGCTCRTGTAAATGGACAAGGAAAATGTGGCAACTAGGAAAAATTGTCAAGGAAAAGTTGTTGACCATTCCCACGCTCAATTTTTCCTTGTTAAGGAAAACTTGYTCTTCGTTTACACTAGCAAAGAAGCATTGTCAAGGAAGAATTGTTGAGGAAAACTTGTTGACCATTTACACGGGCAATTTTTCTTTGTCAAGAAACTTGTCAAGGAAAAATTGCTCATTAACGGCGCTTAAAGAATGGCAGTTGACCATGGTCCATGGATTAATGTAAAATAAACTAATTGTAATTGCATACGAAATGCATGGATCACGGAAATCGAGCAGTGGAATAGCACTTTAAAATCAAAGAAAGCTGTRTTCGCAAGTGGCGATCAAAAAGAGAAAAGTTTATTTTCCGTCTTTTTTTCCTCAAAAACATTCCTAAAACTCGGGGTGCGGCTTATCTACAAGAGCGGCTTATACATGGGTAAATTCGGTAATCATTTGTAATCATAATATCTCTTCCCATGTAGGAATTCAATGGAAGTGAAGTTGTCAAGTGTATWCAAGAACTAATTCGTGTTGATAAAGAATGGGTTCCATACTCAGATACATGCTCTTTGTATATAAGRCCAACACTTATAGGAACTCAGGTATGTTGTAGTGTAGCCTTTTTCTC